TGATAGGGTTCTAGTGATGGATAAAGGAGCGATTGTAGAGAAAGGAGATCCATGGGAGTTATTCAATGAAGGAGGAATGTTTAGAATGATGTGTGATAAAGCAAATATTACTGAAGCTGATTATAACTAGAATTTATCAACATGTTTTCTCCAAGTACAAAATAAACTTGCCTTTTTTTTTTTCATATCTCACCAGTCTACTTGTATGGGTTGAATCTGTTCTCCTTTTCTGATAATCCAGACCCCTGGCATAACGATCGCATTAATTCAAAACAATAACCTCTTCATTGTATGGTACATTCTTAAACTAAGAACAATTGATTTGTCACAAATACGCTACCAACCGTTAATTCAAAACGGGCCGGAATTCAACCAGTTTCGGTTCTAAAGTTGTTTCTATTGTTGGAGCTTTGGGTATCTAAACTTTTTCTCAATGCTACTAGAAGATCAAATGCTAAAACACCTTATCTGAAATTTCAGTTTCAGGTGCAAGACAGTGGAAAGCTATCGTACGATTCAACTCGGCATCTTACTTTGGCACCGTTAGGAAATTTACCCAATACAGGAAAAACTTGTGTATATATAATATTAGGGATTTTACATAGAAGTAGAAGTAGAACTATCTAAAATCGATAGGAAGTCTTGTGCCAAACAAAAGAAAGAATGAAAAAAATAGAAAACTTTTCAGTGGTTTTAGCCTTTTTGGAAAAAGGTTTTTCGCCTTCATTATTTTTAAGGCGACTCCACTATAGCTAGTTTGTAGATAATGAGCAATGGAGAGGGAAGAGTTAGTGGGGAAAAATTGAGTTTTAGTAAAAGGTACCTATACAATCAATAAAAGCTTAGAAGTACGAACAGAATCATTAGAGATAATCAGAATATTTCCTCTAAAACTGGCTCTAATAAATGTTTTTTAGTTTTCACGGCGGGGTCAGCAAATTTTGCACCTGGTAAAGAGAAAAGAGAAGGATTTGTATAAAATGAATTTTGTAAATGTCTCTTTTTTTTTTTTTTTTTTTTTTTTTTGACATGACTTAAGCTCCACAGGCTATTATTGTGAAAAGAGTGTTTTCTGAACAAGGAAGGAGGAGAACAATAGCGATGAGACCTAGGCTGAATTACAGTTTCCACTCGATTTGCATCCCGAATGGGTCTTTATATATATTTTTTTTTAGTATCAGTTGAATTAGATTCCAAATTTAGTGAAATAGCCTCTCTTACTTGAGAATAGCAGTAATAGGCCGATACGCATCATGTCAGACCAAAAAATATTTAGTTCTTGCATATGTAATCCGACTTAAGTAGGTAGGGCGTTTTAAAATTCGAGAGGGTAGTTAAAGAATATGTACTAGTTTCCATTCCTTTATTAGGAAATACCCGGTTCATCTATTGATACAGAAGGTAGAGACAAACGATATATCATTTAAAAACTCTTAGATCAAGAGACATTATTAACTTGTCCTCTTTGTCTATTTTGTCTATTTTGTCTTTTATCTTTTATCTTTTCCTTCCCCATACAGTACTTTTATGACTTACAAACAATTAAGCTTTTATAAAAATTTTCCTTTCGCGTTCCATTAGTATTGTACTTTATACGTTTCATCTCTAGTTTAGTATTTTTCTATTTTCAATAAATATCATTCTAGAATTATCAGTCCCAATTCATAACTGGATTCGGTAATAAAGAAGGTGTTCCTGAAAACTACAATAGTTTTAGCATAAAGTTTATCTTTCAAGTTTATCTCTTTTTCATTTTCCCCATTTCCATTTCTGTTTCCATATTTTTTCTTTCTCTTTATCAAACTTTGAAAACTTCATTGTTCAATTGAGGAAAGAGAAAGTATATATAACCTAACAGCTATTCCTTCTTTTCTAACCACTTTGCTAATGAAAAATGCTTTTTAATCTCCTTCTCTGGAAAGGTGGTCTTTTCTCTGGTTATACGTTTTATTCCATCTACATTCGTTTTCAAATTTCTCCAGCACTGAGAATAACATACTGATTGCACTTGATAAATGACAGAGAAACCTTATTCATACCGCCAGGGCATGGGCTTATCCGAAAACGAGAGTGATAGGAGAGATGTTCCACCTCCAGTACCAGAGAAAGCACATGTTGCAAACGATCGAAAACAATATTACAATATGCGTTCTTATCGCTACTCATATAGAGAACACTACCCACTAGAGCGGAAAGAATCAACAGATACAGTGCTCACTTATGTTGATGATTTACTGAGAGGGTACAATGCTAATATATCAACAACATATGATCCTTCAGTTGACGGATTTGAAAATATAAATCCATATCTTCGGCAGTATTTATACTTGCACGAAAAAACAAATTCTAGTATCAAAACACAACCATATAGTTCTGTATCTTCTTTAGAAAGCCAACCAGAGATCCATAATGAGCACAGATTATTCTCTTGGTTATTCTCCAAGGAGGTTCCAAAAGTGCCGTCGGAGGAAGAAAGGGTTGAATACCCATGGTACAAGACTAATTTATTTATGAGAATGGGATTATGGTGGTTATGGCCAGTGTTAAAGAAAGGTTACAAGCGAACATTGGTTCCCGATGATTTGTTCAAGTTGACGCCAGAGTTGAAGGTAGAGTACATGTACGGCAAGTGGGAACGCCACTTGAAGGTAATCATAGAGAAACACAAGAGAAAACACCCCGAATCGGACAAATGGCCGCCCTATGCTATTCCATATGCCTTGTTTTTGACGTTTAAATGGCAATATCTCTTCTCATGCCTTTGTCTCGCATTGGCATTTGTTTGCACATCCTGCTCACCACTTTTAGCAAGACAGTTGATTGATTTTGTTCAGTATAGATATTTCAGAATCTATACAACTTACAACCGAGGCATTGGTTTTACCATTGGTTCAGTTATACTATTATACATAAATGGGTTGTTGCTCAATCATTTTTTTCACAATGCAATGATTTGTGGGGCAAAATCTAAAGCTATCTTAACAAAGGCATTGTTGATGAAATCACTAAAGTTGAATGCAAAATCAAAGCATTTGTATTCAGTGGGTAAAATTACCAGTTTGATGAGTACAGATTTATCAAGAATTGATTTAGCTATTGGATTTCAACCATTGATATTATGCTTTCCTATTCCTATTGTGATATCCGTAACCATTTTGCTCCTTAGTATTGGACTCTCTTCATTGGCGGGTATTGGTCTTTTCATATTGTCACTAATCGTTTGTGCACTATTGACCAGAAAATTGTTTACAACCAGGGGGAAAGTTGTTCAATTTACTGATGAAAGAGTATCACTCATGAGGGAGATTCTCAACAATTTTAAAATCATCAAGTTTTATGCATGGGAAATGGCATACAAGGCTTCCATTACAAAGGTGCGCAATAAGGAAATGAAACACTTGTTTACAATCAAAGTCTTGAGAAACTTCATCACAGCATATGCGTTGACTTTGCCAGTTCTTACATCAATGGTATCTTTTATAACAATGTGGGCGACGGATAGTATGAAATCTCCAGGTGAGGTTTTCAGTTCTTTATCCTTATATGCTATATTAGCACAAGCAATTATGTTGCTTCCTATTGCCCTAGCTACAGGTGCCGATGCATTAATTGGATTTAGAAGGTGCAGTGACTATTTTTCAGCAGAAGAATATTCTGAAGATTTGAATCAACGATTATTGAATTGCGAAGAGGAATTCTACACTGGTGACACAAGCGGTGATTATAGAAAAGCCATTATAGTTTCTCATGCAGATTTCAATTGGGAGAAATATTATGATGATAAATTAGACTCAGAGTTGTGGGATTCGAGTTTAACTGAAAAACAGCAACGTGGGTCGTCCCAAAATTCCGTATCGAAATACATCATTGAAAGTGACGATGACGACGGATCTATAGCTACATTTACAGACTCCGCTAGCAACCATTTTAATGGGCTAACTGACGTGAATCTCACCATAAATGCCAAAGAGTTTGTTATAGTAGTAGGTGGAATAGGGTCAGGAAAAACGTCGCTTTTATATGCATTAGCGGGGCACATGAAATTGTCCAATCCCTCGAGAGGTCTGATTACTAGATACAAGGAGATATTGCTATGTTCGTCGCCGTGGATACAAAACGCTACAGTTCGTGAGAATATCTTGTTTGGCAAGCCGTTTGATATCGAAAAATACAGAAAGGTACTCTTTGCATGTGCATTGGAGGATGACATTGCAATGTTGCCTGCTGGGGACCGAACCGAGGTCGGAGAGAGTGGAATCACCCTATCGGGAGGGCAGAAAGCTAGGATCAATCTTGCCAGAGCGTGTTATAGCGACGCCGAGGTTTTACTCTTGGACGATGTGATATCAGCGGTGGACTCAAAAGTTGCGAGACATATTGTGATACATTTATTCAAAGGATTGTTGAAGGACAAGACAATTGTTTTAGCCACTCATCAGTTAGGAATATTGGAGTTTGCTGACAGAGTTGTGTTAATTGATAATGGAACAGTTAAGGTTTGCAACCTGACGAGATCCATCGAAGAAGACCTTCACTTTCAGAAATTAATCGAACAAACTAAAGCTGCCCAGGACCTGGCCAACTCCGATTATCGTGTCACAATAGATGATGATGATAAAAGTGGAAGATTTTCCGGCGATAATGAAATAGATTTTACTGGAAGAACAACCACGGAAGAAGAAAGGGCGACGAATTCCATCTCACGGGACATCTACAAGAAATACATTGCATTAGGATCAGGTGTCTTTGGAAAATTTGCCGTTCCCATATTCCTATTATTGGTCTCTATAGCCACTTTTTTCCAAGTGTTTACAAACACATGGTTATCATTTTGGGTAGAGAAGAAATTCAAAGAGCGGGGAGATCACTTCTATATTGTCTTCTATGTGTCGTTTGCATTTTTAACTGTGATTTTTACAGGTATTGAATTTAGTATGCTTGCGTATATGCAAGATTGTTCATCAAACCTTTTGAACTTGAAGGCAATGGGAAGAATATTACACGTACCAACTTCGTATATGGATATAACACCATTGGGCAGAATATTGAATCGATTCACAAAAGACACAGATTCCCTTGATAATGAGA